CGTAGGCACCCAAAAGGTCACAAACATCGGCAGCACTCCGAGGACGGGCCCGACGAATCTCAGCCTTCGCCGCGCCTGTAGCCAACTTAGATAACTTCTCAACCAAAAGAGTCTCTCTGGCAGGTAGTGAAAGTCGACAATCAGGCTTCAGCAAGTCGTTGTACTCGTTCAAGTATCGTGACAAGGCAGCTGCATAAACCGACAATGGTTGGATGCGATCCCACTGGTAGTTATCAAACCGACTCCAAGCTTCATCAGGCAATCGACACTTCTCAAAAGTCTTAATGAGAATTGCCTTGTCAGCTTCGTAATTAACCTTAGAGCACTGAGTCTTCCAAACATTAGCAGAATCACCAGTAAGGAATGCACCCAGGAAACGGGCACGAGCACGATCATCATAGAGATTACCGTAGGTATAGAGCTCATAAGCTTCAAACCAGTCACGTATATTGTCCGTTGGTTTATTAGCAAACTTCTCAGGAACGGGCACAAAGAGTCGCTTCGTCCTAGCAGGAAGAATAGACTCACTAGAAACCGTAGATACCACAACCGGAGAGCTTGTTGAAGAAGTCGTCTGGATGTTAGGCATGGCGCTAGAGTTATTAGTCGTTGATGTTGATGTCGTCGCACCAGTCTGTGCCGATGGACCTATACTAGCCACATTAATCATAGCACCATTATTAGTACTCGAAGTAGCCGAAGGTGCATTAGTGTTCACCACAGGAGGATCCACCTCACCGCGGGGAATAGTACCATCATGATCAGTATCGGAATTGTTGTTAACGTTGTCACCAGCCATAACCAAGCAAATGTCGTTGGAGTGAAAGTTGTCGAATAGAACAAGGAGCTGCTACCAAATTATGTAGGGATAGTAACCTCCTAATAATGGAACTCAATACACGACAAGTGAGCAGAGATAACCTTGTACGAGAGCGGACGTACAATAGAGTAGAACGTATCGGAATACGTTACGTCACAACTTATAACTGTGATTACGAACTACGTATGAGCTACTACTAGCTCTAGCTTTGCAGCACCTTAGCACGCAGGGACAATTGTGTTCGGACCGAAAATTGGGGGACAAGGAAACAATGTGGCACAATGGTCGAGCCACTGGCACAACAAAAGTGAGTACCGCGCGCGCCATGATGATCGATAACACCGACGCAACACGCCCTTGGGGCATATGCTGTACGACAGTAGTTGGATGAATGCGCACCTTTCCCGTTTGTCTCACTGTTCTTGTCCGACGTATCATCAACAATGCCTGTTGAGTCGCGCTCACCGAGCACTGCTCAGTGAGATAGCTGGTCATCATCCACATCTTTATGAAGGATCTCCCATCAGCCATAGTATCCAACTTCGAGGCGAATCTCCCTTCACCACCTCCACGACCCTGCGCTCCTCTCATAGACATTCTCATTCTGTTCCCTGTACAATCACTAATTTATCCTGACCTATCCCTCCATCGAGTGCACACTGTACACTGCTTCAAACACACCCACAATACCCACTTCCAGTTGTGTCTACCTGTTTTCCTTACCTTACTACTAGACACACTACTGTCGCCACTACTGCTGGACGAGCTACCGACATCAGTCTCATCGCCTTAACTAATACTATCACTATTGCTACTGCTATCATTCTCAGCTACTTTTGTATGGAAATTCCTGTCAGCTTAGACTAAGCTGCTTAGTTCTCATCATGACCCAAGCGATTCCCAGCGATCTTATTTAAGAAGGACCCCCTCGAAAGCTCTACCCGCCTGCCTAACGTACCACTTCATAAGAATGACACTGTATCCATAATTCTCAATAACTACTACAACAAAACACACCAGCAAATGAAATTGAGTCTGACATCTTCAGACAAGATGTCAGCTCAGCAATGAACAAGTGAAAGTAATGTCAATAGCGACTCATCGCCGAACACTACCTACAGAAGAAGGTCTAATTGGTCTTCTCATCGAACTTCCGGCGAGGGCAATCAGGGCATCTATCATCACCGTTCAATTCGGGATGGATGCACTCGAACTTCAATACAGCTCCTTCCGGATTCGTGACCATACCCAACTTGTCGTCAACGCACACGGCATGACTACCGGTGAGAAACCACTGATTGTCAATGCCAGCAGGACGAGACACAGTAGCCTGAGAGCCGTCCTCCAAAGCTACAGTGACGGTTCTCGCGGCAACACTAGCAATCTGGCCACCACGAACCGTGGCGAGGAATCGCCTCGAAATTGTGTTGAAAGCGGACGAAGAAACGGAAGAAAGCATAATTAAACTAATGAATGAAAGCCTACAAGTTAATGTCATATGACAATTGCCAACCAATTCGACACCCAACTCAGAAGCACGACCGACTTGCTGAGAAACATGCACAGGAACATCACCAACTTCACCCAGTGGAGCTCCTCATCACAGCATTCACAAGGTGGGTAACAACCTGCTGCAATGATCACCGCTAACCTCAAAAGACATGTCAAAGTATCTGCCATCTCACCATGCTTGCCCACCATCTCACCAACAGCTCTGAACCTGATTTAGTGAAGCGGATCGACGAATAGACCAGAAGGAGACTAGAAGGAACAGTACACGAAGAGAAAACTCTGAGAAATATGTAGAAACAACCAAATTGAAACTCTTCTGCAAGTTCCGTCGGAATGTCCCTACGATTGAACATACATTAATCACACACTTTCAAAAGGCAATGTTCAAGATACTTCAGCTAACGATATTTTAGCGACAGATGTAACACAGCCAGCTAAAAACAATCACGACACGCCCAGCACCACAGCTCGTAGGGGCGTCCCAACGTACTCGAAGGCCTAGGGCAATCTATAATGAGTGTGTCGAAACCAGCGTACTATACTCATGACGACATTGACATAGGAAATCTATAATGAGCTTCATCACGCGCAGCTGTCCCCTCTTGTGTCGAGGCTGCAACATACAGCCAATTCAACTCTTGCGGCTTGTAGTGGTACGAGCTCCCATCAATAAAGCAGGAACAACCACCCCTACACCCTTACACGTGAGTTGGTGTACCATTAAGTGACTACAACACCTCAGTCAGGATCAACTCAACGGTCGTAGATCTTCCATGAAAGTCACTATCATGGAGCGACGTTGTCCGTATACAATCGGCAACTTGAATTAAAGAACAACATGCATTTGAAACTATGCTACTACATGTTCAATAGTTCAAACACTACTCACATACTCAACTGTCAGTCAACTTCAATACCACGCGCCTCGCCACTCACACTACACCATGCGACATCAAAACATCAGGTGGTCTAGGCAGGAGTTGATAGGCGGGAAAGTAAGCAACAAACGCCTCGTCTTGAACGGTTACACTAAGAGCTAGCAGGGCACCTAGGAGCCGTCCGTGGAGTCTCATCAAGCCTTCTAGGATTCTCCTACGGAACGCAGTGATTTGGCTCCGTCTTCTCTGGCGTGCAGCTCGCAAGCCAGTGACATAGGGACTGTGAGAGCCTTTAGTAACCGAGAGCAACCAAGGGAAGTTGTGATAGAGGTGCTCGAAGGCTCCGTCGAACCAACGCACATCCATGGCATAGGACAGTTGATTGAGAGCAGCAACATATGACAGTATTGGGAAAAGGGAGAGCCCCAAGCTGGTCCCTTCAATAGCGAAACTCAGTGAAGTTAGTTTACATATGAGAAATGATGCAGTTAGAAGAAGAATGGTAGCAAAGGCAACTACAGCTATCAACGCCTTAAGAGACCAAGTCACTCTAGCTGCCAAGTTGAGCATATAAACCTCCATCCTGAGAGCCAAACCAGCAGTGCTTCCACGCCTTTCCCTTCGTGCTATGGTCCATGGGTTACCACGTCTAGGCCTCAGGTGTGTCCACACGAACCGCCACAGGTCCTGTACGAGCATAGTATTCGGCGAAAAGAGTAGTGTTGAGAAACCCGATATGTGCAGCATTGTTATCTTGATACGGAGCAGGCTCCTCGATGAAGCTATTGTGACCAACAGCTGAGCCCACATTATAACAATAGCCAATAACTCAATAACCACTTGGACTAGTAGTATACGTACATACGAGAAGCACTCCTGGTCGTTGACCATCGCCGGATCCTCACAGTTGGGCGGTACCGCTCCCGCCTGCCTCACAGCTTCATCTCGTCCAAATGCCAAAACAATCATCAAGTTCAATCCTGATATGGATTTCATGGCTTGATAGAAAGTGAAGACAATGAAGCCCGTATTGAGACACACCGTGAGCAATCTGAAACATGCGTCACCGATTCTCCACAGTTTACTGCGTTCATATTTTAGCATCAGAGTAAGGTTCGTAGCCTGGACCCAGAACGGTTGGAAGTTTGTTGAGCATGCGTGCAGATCCACCAGACACCTCAGCTTTCTAGCCTGCCATTCTCTCTCACCACGAGTGTTGTAGCCTCCATAAACACTCGTGTCAATTCTGTGTGCTTTGCTGACATACGGTGAGGGTCCGATCAGTCGATTTCCACGACTAAGGTACTGAGATCGCGATGACGGTGTGACTGTGGTGAAAAGAGGTGTGGGATAACCCCGCGGACCGGCTGCTGACGATGAGGACGGCCCGGC